AAAAATTTGTGTTAATGTTAATTTACAAAATTAAATAGCCGGAACTAGTGTTTGCATAGTGTAGCTCCATTTCTTTTATGTGTTTCAAGAATTTTCTGCGCCGCTTATTGGAGCAGCGTAATCGTATCCTGATGGAATAATTTCCACTTTCAAGCAGGAATTTTTATACTCGATTCAAATAACGGAATCACCCTCCCCATTATTATATTTCTTATGCGCGAGCGATCGTGGACTCCGTATGGTCGATATATTATACAATAACTAAGTATAAAAATCTAGGTGAACAAAATTATGAAACAACGAGGAATAATATAATCATTATTCTGCAATTTTGTAAAAGATTCCTATACGATAGAATTGCAAATAACATATATACATACATCGTACGAAACAAATAAATTAACAATTTTATATTATTTATGTCAACTAGATCTGTCAACAACAAAATTACAGTCATTAAAAAATGCTCAAAAAGGCGTACAAAAAAAATGTTATTACTTTAAAGAACCCTTTTAAACATGTTATGTGTTTGCATGATTTCCAGCCACAAATTCTTACAATAATCGAGGTTCTACTTTACGAAGCATAGTTTTTAAAGCATTGATTATTAGAGCTCTTATAGACATGTTGCTCATAAAATAACGTTTACAAAGGTGTTACACGAATTCTATATTTTTATTAATTGCATTTAATAATAAATTTGTAGTTAAATTATGAAACGGTAACTCCAAAAGCAGCCTGTTGTCCGAATATCTTACTGAGCATGTAAATAGCATCGTAGGTGTAGGGAAAGTGGATCACAACAGAAGACGAAGGCCTAATCGTTCATTTCCGTGAGCAGTCTTTCCGCGCTACAATTGCAAATTACCGTACGTCGCGAAGTACTCGAATTACAGAAATTGTTTTCAACTTCGGAAAATTCGGCGAATATATCAGGCAACGATAAATAATTTGTTTTGTTTGAAGTATGATTTTGATATACAGGGTGTTCGGCCACCTCTAGCAAAAATTTTAATGAGCGATAGTAGAGGCCAAAATAAGACGAAAATCAAGAATACCAATTTGTTGATGGAAGCTTCGTTAAAAAGTTATTAACGTTTGAAGTGCCGCCCTTACTGAATTTTTTTCTCGAAAATGCGCAAGATTTCGGGGGTATGTCTATTCACCAAAAATGACTGTAATTGAACCCTACAACCGAAAATAATTTTTCCACAACGATTTGCAATTTTTTAATTTTCTCGAATAATTTCACACCTTCTCTATTTTTTTTCTCGAAAGTGGGCAGGATTTCGTGGGTATGTCTAATGACAAAAACTGATTGTAATTGACCCCCGCAACCGAAAATAATTTTTCCACAACGATTTGCAATTTTTTTTCTCCGTTGAAAAATTTAGGCACCTTATTGGATTTTCAGTAAGGAATTTTTTTCTCGAAAGTGCGTACAATTTCGGAGGTATGTGTAATGATAAAAAATGATTGTAATTGATCCCCGCAACCGAAAATAATTTTTTTAGAACGATTTGAAAAATTTTTTTTCGCCGAAAAATTTCAGCACCTACTCGATTTTTTTTCTCGAAAGTAGATAGGATTTCGGAGGTATGTGTACTCACCAAAAATGATTGTAGTTGACCCCCGCAACCGAAAATAATTTTTCCAGAACGATTTGAAATTTTTGAATTTAATTGTTAATAACTTTTTAACGAAGCTTCCATCAACAAATTAGTATTCTTGATTTTCGTCTTATTTTGGCCTCTACTATCGCTCATTAAAATTTTTGCTAGAGGTGGCCGAACACCCTGTATAACTTCACTGCTGTTCAAAAACTGTTGAAATCGCCCCTCGTCAAACCGCTGCAATGTTCAACGAAGTTCATTATCCCATATTAAAGGTAATGAAAATGATGGGCATCGTGATTGGACGACAATGTAGGGAAGCAGTGATTTATTGAATTGTCGAGGACAAGAGGGATTGTGGATTTTGGTCATCGAGTCTGCGTTTCGAGTTTTCATTAAGAACTAACATTGATATGATATATAAAAATACAACACTAATATAATAAGAGAATAAAAAATATATTTACAATATAAAATAACGCGAGAGTTTGCGACGAGGACTCAGTGAATTATTATTACTTTAGACATTTATTTTTAATTTTATTTTTTGATCATTTAAAGTGATTGTTAATTTCCATAATAAAAAAATTGCTAATGAGAGCTTCATTGTTCCGAGAATATTGAAAATACTAGGATTCACAAAATAGAAAAACGACCTGAAAAGTCTATTTCAAAGAAAAAGCGTACAGTACGGACTAGAAATAGCGTATCAAATGTTCAGATCCATTTTTCACGGTATAACAATCGTGAAACTTCATCAAAAACTTCAAACGGTTTCGCTTTTTTTTCAAATTGGTCTGCAGGCACGCTTCAAAACTAATAGACCAATCAACTTCATTCAAAGTCGAGTCGATCCGTTATAGCTTCGTCTGGGGATTGTATTTGTTAGTTTAATTAATAAAATTTTGATCGGAGCTCGGTCCCTTCGTAATTCAAAATATACGGCGTCGAAGTTAAGCGTGCTGGAATATTTCTGTTACTGCATTTAGGTCAATTTTACGTTATTGAAGATGACGCAGATGGAGGTCAAAACATTTAAGGTATTAAATAAGTTAAAATTATATACAGTTATTAATGTTATAGCTGTTTATGAGCAAACAAGCAAAGTTTTCAAATATTTCTGTTACTCTATTTGGGACAATTATATGTTATTGAAGATTATGACGTTAAATAAAGATCGAAACGTTTAATGGATTCAATAAGTTAAATTGTTTATACAGTTATTGATGTTGTCTCTGTTTGTTTGTAAACAAGCAAACTGTTTACATATTTCTGTTACTATATTTACGTTAATTACGCGTTTTTAAGGATGATGACAAATAAAAGACGAAACGTTCAATGGATCCAATAAGTTAAATTGTTTATAGAGTTATTAGTCTTGTATCTGTTTATAAGTAAACAAGCAAACTGTTTCAATATTTCTGTTACTGCACCCAGACCAATTTTACATTACTGAAGATAACAAAAATGGCAGTTTAAATGTCTAGTGTCACGAATAAGTCAAAAAGTAGTTTATACAAATATTAACGTTGAATTTCTTCATTTATAAACAAGCAAACTATAATATTTGTATATCTGTAAATAAATATAGAAATATAATTATAAGGTTGTCAAAGATACGTATATGGAACCAGAAGCCATCCGAGGCTGGAAGGACTAACTATGGATTGGATCATATAAAGAAATAAAAAGATAAGCAAACTGCCCAAATATTTCTATTGCTACATTTAAGTCAGTTTAGTAGCCTAATAAGTAATAAGTGTCAATTTTATGTTATTGAAGATGGCGTAGATGGAGGTCAAAACATTCAAGGTATTAAATAAGTTAAAATGATATACAGTTATTAATGTTATAGCTGTTTATGAGCAAACAAGCAAAGTTTTCAAATATTTCTGTTACTGTATTTGGGACAATTATATGTTACTGAAGATTATGACTTTAAATAAAGATCGAAAAGTTTAATGTATTAAATAGGTTAAACTGCTTATACGGTAATTATTGTTATGTCTGCTGTTAATTACGCGTTTTTAAGGATGATGACAAATAAAAGACGAAACGTTCAATGGAATCAATAAGTTAAATTGTTTATAGAGTTATTAGTCTTGTATCTGTTTATAAGTAAACAAACAAACTGTTTCAATATTTCTGTTACTGTACCCAGATCAATTTTACATTACTGAAGATGACAAAAATGGCAGTTTAAACGTCTAGTGCCACGTTTAAGTCAAAAAGTAGTTTATACAAATATTAATGTTGAATTTCTTCATTTATAAACAAGCAAACTATAATATTTGCATATCTGTAAATAAATAAGTTTAAACGTCTAGAGCCATGAATAAGTCAAAAAGTAGTTTATACAAATATTAACGTTGAATTTCTTCATTTATAAACAAGCAAACTAATATTTGCATATCTGTAAATAAATAAGATTAAACGTCTAGAGCCACGAATAAGTCAAAAAGTAGTTTATACAAATATTAACGTTGAATTTCTTCATTTATAAACAAACAAACTATAATATTTATATATCTGTAAATAAATAAGTTTAAACGTCTAGAGCCACGAATAAGTCTAAAAGTAGTTTATATAAATATTAACGTTGAATTTCTTCATTTATAAACGAGCAAACTATAATATTTGTATATCTGTAAATAAATATAGAAATATAATTATAAGGTTGTCAAAGATACGTATATGGAACCGGAAGCCATCCGAGGCTGAAAGGACTAACTATGGATTGGATCAAATAAAGAAATAAAAAGATGTGAAAAAAAATAAGCAAACTGCCCAAATATTTCTGTTACTACATTTAGGTCAGTTTAGTAACCTAAAAAGTAGACTGCGGATGTTTATGCATTTATAGAAAATTTTAATCCTCAAAAAACTACAGAATGCATTTAATATGCAAAGATATAAATAATACCTAAAGTAAGATACGAATTATTATATTTAGAGGTTGAGGCAGCCCTCTGCGAAGCTTCCGTTTCATTAATTCTATAAAAATTGAATTTGCATAAAGATCCGCAGTCTGCTAATAAGTAATACGTGTCAATTTTATAACACAAATGAATGTCCAAAGATTGAACGCCATAAGTAAATGAAAGAATTCTTTCGAAGGTGATCGATGGTAAATGCGTTCGTCTGCAAATAAGGAAATCTCGTTGTCAAACTAATTTTCGTCGTCGCGAGGCACGAAATTTCGTTCGAAATGGATGGGTATAGCAATCGCGATCACATGCTTTCACGTTCGAGGCAGGGTCGCGAGGAACTCACCTGGTGGGTTCCGCGCGAGCCTATCAGAGGGATGAGTTTAAAGAGGCCGCGCGGTGGAGGTTCGGTTCGCGTGTGCCCTGATGTGGAAAGCCGGTTAGTCGGTCTGAATCCTCCGTGCCGGCTGCATTTACTGGAACGCCTCCAGTCCCTTTCGAGGTGTACGCGTTTTCTACGTTCCGGCCAGGGAACCTTTCCACGAATTCGATCGGAAGGAATCGCCGTTCGGAGGATTTTTACGCTCGCGCGAAAACGACGGACATCGGCCGTGACAATTTGCGATGTGAACGAATGGTTTTGTCCCGGTGTACGTATTTGCGATGTGAAGTGCACGTGGCTGGGGATTTATAGCGATCGAGACCGGGGCCTGCGCGCGAGAAAAGTACGTTGATTTTTGTTTTCATTATAACGCGTCCAATTACGCGCGCGCGCGATACGATTTCCAAAGGTCGTTTCGAAATTTACTTTGTATATATTTACAGGGAATTACAGTACACGGTATCACGCCGTTATCGGGGATAATTAAGATAACAGTAAGTCCGCTATTTATTCGGTTAATTGCTCCCGAAGGTTTTCGCTTAATTATAGAAATTATACACATGGAGGGACTTTCAATATAGAATTTATCATTTAAAAATTTCGTGGAAAGTAAACAGGGATATATTCTGAAAAAAAGTTTTGCGATTTGCGAAAGTGAAAAGTTTATTTTTATTTTTAAATTAGTGAACTGGTTCGAAGTAATAAATGTGAGCTGGATTTTTTCATCATCGAAGTCTGAATTATTCAATATTTAAATATATGAGGATTACATATACGGTCAATTTTTAAATTTTGTGGAAATTAAACAAGAACAATCAGTGAAAAGTTTATTTTATAAATGGAAAAAATTCTTATCTAGTTATGAATGTCAAATAACGAATAAAAGATAAACAACTTTTTGTTCGTTATTCGTAAAGTGAAAAGTTTGAATTACAGAATGAAAATTGAACTGGTTCGAACTATTAAATGTGAGCTGGGTTTTTTCATCATCGAATGGAACTTTGCACGTCTCTGAATTATTTAATATGTAAATATACCAGGATCTAAGTGGGGATACAACCGCGTCTCTACGAGTGTCTGGCTCTCTCGATCCTTTTTTCGTACTCGAGACTCCCGGGAGTAAAAAGATCCGGGAAATTCCCGGAAGCCAGGATTCTTGCTCGTCATGTATTTATTTATATTAAAAATGAATCATATTTCTGGTTAACTTGATCTCATTGTATTTGACAAGACACTGTATAATTAATCGCTGAATCTCTATTTCTCAAAATGGGTATTTATGTTCCAAACAAGTGCATTTTTGATTAAAATTTCAATTTTTTAATTTTAAATAAAACATTTTTACCCTCATCAGTCAATTTTACACTTATCGAATATGCAAAGCCAAGATTTCCCAATCTATGAAAAGTGTAAATAAAATATTAATTATCTCTATGTTCGATAAAATCATAATCAAGATTTACACTGATATTATATATCTAAAATAAACATTGAAAGTATTCTAAATACGTAGCTCGGAAACCCCATGAGTCCCTAGGAATTTAATAATTAAAAAAAACGTCAAACGTATAGAAATCTCGATATTATTTTGCTCGGTAATGTTAAAATTACAAAAAAATTAGATTATTCCGATGAGAGAATTTTTTGTCGCCCGGCTTGGACAAAACGTTCTGGTCTTTAAACTTACAGCAGTAACCGTTGAGAGTGCAATTAATGCCTTATATGTATCTGATAAAATAAAATTACAAATGCTGGTTTCCACGCTCGTAGTATGAATATAAATCGCGTATCCGTTATATTCATGAAATCCAGGAGAAAAGATTAATCGCGAAGGTAAAGCAATTACCAGCTCGTAAGGCGAACGATGAAACCCCATCATCTTGGACTAGGATATTAGAAATAAATATTTCGAGGCAGATTTAATGCAAGTGTAACGTAACCCTGGCTTGTGTTGTCCTTCACGGTTTCGAGGATATGCCTCGGTGATATATATACGTCAGTGATGTATAAATTGCCATCGTTAACCGTAACTGGATCTGCGCCGCGTACGAACTTCGTGGGGTTATATAAACCGCGATATTAGATTGTTAATACTTAGTATTAAATAGCAAGTTCGTTAACGAGTCTCATTTACGTTTCTATAAATTATTCATTAAATTTTAAATATCTGATAACACAATAATGGCGTAAACCTTCAAGTTCGAACTGTAAAGTGTAGCCTTCCGCATTACAATCTCATTTTCGTCGAAGATTTAAATTTAAAAAATATAAGTTTTAGTCTAGAAAATTTATCTACTAGTCTTTGGTAAATATTTCACAAATTTAATCAATTTAGAATTATTAAGACTGTTTTAATTAAATCTGTTCCGAATTAAAGAGTATGTAAATAGCAAACATTAAGATTTAAATTTAAAAAATATAATTTTTAGTCTAGAAAGTTTATCTACTAGTCTTTGGTAAATATTTCACAAATTTAATCAATTTAGAATTATTAAAACTGTTTTAATTAAATCTGTTCCGAATTAAAGAGTATGTAAATAGCAAACATTAAAATTTAAATTTAAAAAATATAATTTTTAGTCTAGAAAGTTTATCTACTAGTCTTTGGTAAATATTTCTCAAATTTAATCAATTTACAATTATTGAGACTGTTTTAATTAAATCTGGTCCGAATTAAAAAGTATGTAAATGGCAAACATTAAGATTTAAATTTAAAAAATATAATTTTTGGTCTAGAAAGTTTATCTACTAGTCTTTAGTAAATATTTCACAAATTTAATCAATTTAGAATTATTAAAACTGTTTTAATTAAATCTGTTCTGAGTTAAGAAGTATGCAAATAGCAAACATAAAGATTTAAATTTAAAAAAATATAATTTTTTGTCTAGAAAGTTTGTGTACTAGTCTTTGGTAAATATTTCTTTTCGATCAATTTACAATTGGTGAGAGTGTTCGAATGTTATTAGAAATGATAAATTATTTTTGAATCACGTCTGATCGATCGAACGTTTCGACGATTTTTGAAAGTGTTCGTGAAATTTGGATGTTGTTGTTTATTTACTATCGTCTGATAATAGGTGTCTGGCACGAATGCCCAGTATACGTTGCAGCTTACTGCATTTGAAAGAACATCTGTTTCCTGGGAACAAGAACGCTGTAATTGAGGATCGCATATATCAAAGTCAGTCGAGGCGTGCGTGAGTTAGATCTCACATCTTTTCAGAATGTACGGAAGACGGATTGGACGCAATTATTTTCTCGAACTTGATATTTCCACGCCGAACAAAAATAATTTCAATATTAAATAATTTTTATAGCCTTATGGTTTTATTTTATTTTCTTCCTTCGTAATAAGACACTTTCATAAGTTTCTGTTTTCTACTTTTCAGTCAAACTTTGGTCTTACGGAGGTTCAAAATCCTCGTGAATATCGTATTTTTCTATTTAAAAAAACTAAAGAAGCTTATGTGCATTCTTTACAAAATTTTTTTCTGTGACTCTTAAAGATTGTCAATGAAAAGGATTCGAAACTCTTTGAGAGGAACTTTTGGTAGTTTGGTGTCCCCTTACTTATTGCATTTTTGGATCTTTCCTTTGTCTGCTGCAATAAAATACACCTTGGTAAAAAGGATCTCTTTGGTGTTTTATCTAGTTATTTGTTAATCGATCTTTTTGGGACTTTCACACTGTTTCAAATTATTCTTGAAATCGGTTCATTTCATTATAAGTTTGATCTAGCTCTATCATTTGTTTAAAGATGTTTTTAATTGGTCTAAACCATATATTACACCTGAGAAGGTTCATAAATTTTTGTGAAATATAGTGAATAAGGAATGAAATTAATTTTAGTTTCAATCGATATAATTAAATAATATAAAAATTTATCTTAAAATAACTATTGCAATGGTTTGTTTTAATTACACTGTTAAATTATAAAATACTAAAAATAATAAACAATGTAATTAGCCTCGAAAAATGTTTAATTCTAGAATATGTTTAAAGAATATTTTTCTACTCGAAAAAAATTAATATTAATGTTATTCATAAAAACTTAAGAAACATCCTGAATACAGAATTAAATTAATTCTAGTTTCAATCAATATAACCAAATACATAGTATACAAATTTTCCTGCAAATTAATCTCAAAACAACTTTGCTTAATAATTTATTTAATATCTTTGTATCATAATCTTAACAAAACCGTCTAGTTGTAGGTCCTAAAAATTCAATATTGACAAGATTGAGATTTTTCTTACAAAGAAAACTACTAAAGGCATAAATTAATTTTTTTTTTAAATGCCTGTACAAAATTGCCAATTCCTGTGTACTATGAGCGATAACTTAACCTATTGTCTAAATTATACGGTTAAACCGTGTACGTTAATTACCATGATTTTTACAATTTTATGAGGAACAACCCATTCACCAGAAGAAATTTGAACTAATCCAATCGACCGTGCGAATGTTCCCAAAGTGCAATTAAGAACCCGCAAGAAAAAGTGAATCGAACGTACCGTTAATCCAACGTTAATTCCGCGCCAAATGCGGAGCAATTAACAAAAGCAAATACATCGCAAAAATCTAATTTGAAGAACTAATTATCCACTCAAATTCATCAAATTTTCTTTTCACTCCCTAAGATTAACATAAACATTGTTCTCTGATCAAACTGTGATATTAAAATTAACACATAAACTCTAAATATACAGGGTGCTCGGTCACCCCCTGGAAAAAATTTTAATAGGAGATTCGTTGATTTGATGGGAGATTTTAATGGGCAATTTGTTGATTGAGGCTTCGTTAAAAAATTATTAAAAAATTAAATTAAAAAATGTCAAATCGTTCTGGAAAAATTATTTTCGATTTCGGGCGCCAATTACAATCATTTTAGGTCATTTGACATACTCTCGAAATCCTATCCACTTTCGAGAAAAAAATTCAGGAAGGTCGACAAAATTAAAAAATTTCAAATCGTTCTGGAAAAATTATTTTTGGTTTTGGGGGCCAATTACAATTATTTTTGGTGAATAGACATACCACCGAAATCCTTCGCACTTTCGAGAAAAAAATTCAAGAAGGTCGACAAAATTAAAAAATTTCAAATCGTTCTGGAAAAATTATTTTCGGTTTCGGGGGCCAATTACAATCATTTTTGGTGAATACACATACCTCCGAAATTCTTCGCACTTTCGAGGAAAAAATTCAGGAAAGTTGACAAAATTAAAAAATTTCAAATCGTTCTGGAAAAATTATTTTCGCTTTTGAGGACCAATTACAATTATTTTTGGTGAATACACATACCCCCGAAATGCTACGCACTTTCGAGAAAAAAATTCTTTACCGAAAATATACTGTGTGGCCGGAAATGTTTCTACAACTTTTTAACGAAGCCTCAATCAACAAATTAGTATCCTTGATTCTCGTCTTATTTTGTCCGAATGGCCGAACACCCTGTATAAATTTTGTAAAATTCATCGAACGGATGTAAAAATTGATCTAAAATTCTCTTTCTATAGCTCGGTTTATCTCGACAACCCACGTTATTTGTACTCATAAATCATCAATAACAATCTTTTTGCGAGGCGCCACGTTCGTAAAGAGTACTCACGAGAGATCCGCGGCTATAACTTCGACGAAGATGGAGGACGAGCGGCGGGAAGCACGTTTACAGTCGGAAACTACCAAAATGACGGGCGATCGTATCGCGAGGCTGAGACGTAGCGGTCGCAATCGAGAATCTCACGACGAGATCGTGGAACTCGAGGCTGAACTGCGACGGGCGTACATCGCGAAGGAACTTCGAGCGCAGTTCGTGGAAAGGGAGACCGTGAAGTACATCGAGGACGTACGAAAACAACACGCTGCGAAACTGACGCGGCTCGAACAGCGGGCGGCCATCGCGAGCGACGATCGTCGAAGAGCCGAGGACCTTAAAAAGTCCGAGGATTACAGAAGACAGCTCGCCGAGCAGATCGCACGGAAAGAAGAGGAGAGAAGTATAATGGCGCAGGAAGAGCGCAAGGAAAGGGAAATTTTAACTGAGGTCGATCGGATAAGGGAACAGTGGGAAAAGTCCAAAGCTCGAGAGTCAAAGGAAGAGCTGATGGAGTGCGCGAGAAGGGAACGTTTGATTCTCGAGGAAATGAGGGAGGTCCGTCGCGACGAAGAGCAGGAAACAGAGGCGAGAAAAGTTCGCGAGGACGAGGAGTATTGGAGGGAAGTCGATCGACGGAACCTGGAGGCGGAGAGGCTTCGTGAACAACGAACGGAAAGCAGGGAACGAATAATAAGCAAAATTGCGGGCGCGTTGATGAATATCGAGACGCGCAGGCAAGAAAAGGAGACGCTGATTGGCGAATTGATAGCCGAAGACGTAAAATATGAACTGCTGGCCAGAGAGAAAGAAGAGATCGTTAAGAGGAGGAAGATGATGGAGGAACTGGCAGCTAATTTGGAGGAACAGATCGTTTTCACGGAACAATGTAAATTGCGCTACGTCGAGCAGGATAGAACTTTCGCGGAAGAAATCATGAGAAAGATTATGGAGGACGAGAGAACCGCCAGACTGACGGCGGAGGCTAAACGAAGAATGCAGTTGCAGTACAAGGAGGACTTGGTTCGGTTGATCGAGAAACGACGAAAGATACGCGAGGAGGAAATCGTCAATATGAAGATGGCTGCTGAGGCTGAAAGAGTACAAGAAAGGATTAATATGGAGCGCATTAAGGAAGAGAGGAGGCTATTGTTGGAGAAACACGCGCCGAACGTTGTTGATTATCTCGATAAAAGCGTTTTTACCGAGGAGGAGAGAGAAATCATTGCTAGATCGTTGCAACGACGCAATAACGTCTCGGAATAATTTGAAAAATATTTTATCGTCAGACTTCCCGAGGGATTCGTGACGAGAGCATCGCGATCGTCGGATAATAGTAATGCACGCACGGGCATTTTCGAAAAGTGCTCGAGGCACGGCACTGATTAATCGGTAATTTCACGCCGGCGACGAGAATTAATGACCAAGTTAAATAAAACTTCGTCTTGCAGTTACGACTCGCGCTACATGGCAAAACAAATTTATTACTGTCGTCGGGGGCCACCGACTCGCATTGTGTCGTATTATCAAAGACAATGCGCGTCGCGAAAATAATGTTCGCGCGGACGAGCCGCGTCCGACGCGTTGGCGAAAAGTGTAATTATTGAAATCAACGGTAAAAGAGAGTCCAGTTATATTTTAATTAAAAAGTTGATCGCGTACGCGTATTAACATAACCGAACTTGTAACGAATTTTTACTTTATTTGCTAAATATCGTTTTCTGCATTGACACGGCCATTAATTAAAGCGTCGTACGTCGAACTAGTAATTAGAGGAGAGATGCTGAGTTGAGGAAACACGATTGGAATTTAATCGAGAAATGTATCGAGTCGTTTAATCAAGGGTTATGGAACATTTATAATGTAAAAGGTTATGAATTTTTTTGAATTTGTATTTTAGTATCAGAGACGATTTTTTATTTTATTATAATTTTGTTGCATCGAACAAATACAAGTTTTAATTACGTGTTTTCGACTACCGTATTTCAGACGTTTTATCTTTCCTGTATTACTTGTAATTGCTTCCTAATAAATTGTCCGTATTCTATCATGCGTTACTTTAATCCATTATTCATACAATGACTCCAAGCTCGCAAAAAACTTAATAATCTTGTCGACAGAGAAATTTCAACTTCACGTTGCGTCGTCGAAGACAGAATAAGTTATACCCTCGGCATCTGTCGGCAGGTGTTACTAATTATTAGCATGTTCTACAATATATCCTCCGCGAGCTTTCGTTCGAAAGATTTACGAGAAGTTTAGCAGCCTTTAGCTTCGAAGTATGTGGAACGCAACATTTAAATGGAAATATGTAAATGGCTACGTTGTACATGGGTACATAAAACAAAACTGTTCAAAGAGAAGTTAAACTATCCAAGACAAAGTAATATTCACGCGTGTAACCCGGTATAAGGAGCAACCATAAATTTAGGCAGAAAAATATAATATTCGTTATAATCTTGTGAAAAGTAATATGAAAAATATAAAGGTATATATTAAATAGAAATACTTAGAAAATTGGATTAATATGACTATTAGATCATATAACGTTCGTGAGTAAAATCTAATAGTGTTAAAAATTATATTAATTTTACTACTTTTTTCTATATCGTTACAGAAAATAAAAATATAAAGGATTTTCTCGAAGGATTTTTATTAGTTTTTATTTAATATCTCTGTCGTAAAAGAATTGAAATTTGAAGAATTACTATTTTATGATTTAACTTAGAATTTCATGAAGTTAACGGAAACGTGAGTTAATACAGTCGTGCCTAGATATAAACATCGCATCATGCTTATTTTGATGTGCGCTTAAACCTGTTTTATTCAGAAAATTCTCACAGGGCTAGAGTATGCTGCGTTTCTCTTGCGGCAAACTCCACCGGAAGTTGTGGAAGACATTCCACAGAATATTAGAGAATGTGTGTGGCTTCAATAACGGGTGCCCCGCACATTACTCTAGAATTGCAAGAGCAATATCAGATGTCAATTTCATTCGCGACTGTGGGAATAATCTACGATAATTGAATCGACAGTTGCAACAAAGAATTAATATTTTAATTATTGTTCAGCGCCGTTTCCTCGATTGTGAGTTGAATCGAAAAATGTGTATTTGTTGGAAAAACTAGAAGTACTGTTTGTCAGGTGAAAGCTGTAATACCAGAGGACCTAAAGCAAATAATTATTGCAATATATGCATCAATTACGCCGCAGGAAGTAGAATATCTAAACACGTGATTCATTATGATGCGTTGGTTTTGCAATGATGCCAATGGCGATCATTTTGGATGCCTGTTATAGCCTCAAGTTATGTTAATAAAATTTATACAGGACAAACTGCGTAAATTATTACAAGCTCGTTGTTGGAGAGCAATTAATTATAAGGAAAAAATTCTTTTTTAACCGCTGGAGGGTGTTTTTAAAAATAAATATAAATATATATAATGATCTTTAAATCTCGAAAAAAGGTAACTGAACGTTATTTATATGAAATAGATTTTCAGATATCCATAATTAATGAAAATATTTACATGTTTCCATTTAGAAGGGAATGATATATATTTGAATAATTTATCCTTGAAAACTTCCAATTGGTTGCATATTTGCTAATTTACATGAAATAAATATTAATTTAATAACTGACGCTTTGGACCGTTCTTACTTACTGAAGCGAGTTAAATGATTGTAACAAAGTACCGTCTTCACAGTAACTAAACGCGAGCGTGACATTTAATTAACGCGAAATTAAACGTTGAAGTAAATAACTTTATGCTGGATTTAACTGTATGCATCTTACCCAGCATGAAAAATGTTACATTAAATATCAGGAAAATAAGAAACATTAAAATTATTATATCTAAAAAATTACTATTTGAAAATAATAATCTATCGCAATAAATATTGCTCTGAAATGAGAGCTCGTGAAATTCCTAGATTAAAAAATAGCGTCCAATACTTATTACACTATAAAATATTACAAATACTAAAGAATTATTTACGTTCTATCATCTATAATAAACACATTAACGCAATATAAAGTAGCTGAACAAATGATTTAATAATTTGCAAATATATAAATGGATAAAATTAAAGTATTCGAATATCGAAGTGCCGTAGGTTAATCGCGTTTAGGTTAAATGTTTGAGACCGTTGATGATGCTCGACCATGCGATCGGCTGTATAATGATTATGTGCATCTGTGTCACGCAACCGTCAAGCGTCGAGACTGAAACTTATGCCAAGAAAAAGAAGGGATAACGTGAACTTGGCCATTTGTCCCTTGGCTGGCAAGGTCCGTGTGACCTGATGTACTTATGGCATGATTCGACGAATCTCGCCGTGAATTGTTACTTGTGTTCGTAAACACCGATCGTGTCATGGTATTATCTATTTTATTAGCGTGTCCTAGAAAGTACTGTGCAGCTTGGTCGTTTTGCTTCCTGGTTATTTCTAAACCGTCCATCATAAGTGTCAGACACGGATTAAGGGGGAAACTAAGTAGATTGCAACCCCCATATTTTCCAATATTAAAATATTTACGAGCAACGAAAAAATTATTTTCGATTTGCAAACACTCTTCCAACTAGTGAAATAATTTTTAAAATTTTCCAGTCTCTTTTTGAAACGTTGGTTAATTTTAATATAATTCGGACCAAAACAAACTGAATTTTGAACAAATATATTTTCTATTGAAAATAAATTTCGAGGAAGACGAACTTAGCAAAAATTGCAATGATTAATTTTGCTTTGGAGCAGCAATTACTCTAAAAATTAGTGCCCGAATTATGGAATGTAATATTTCGAAATGACGGAATTAAAATTTGACTGTTGAATCGAATAAATTTCGTTGGTTACCTATTGTTTGAGTTAAATTTTGCCCAGCTTTGTTATCGTGACAAATAGCAGTAAATAATTGGAAGCATTAAGGCCGCAGTTTATCAGAGGACCCGATCCTTTGAATTTGTGTGATTGTTACTAACGCGTCTCGACATTCATAGAATTCCACACTAATTAAATCCAGCTATAAAGCAGGCATTTAATCTCTACATTGGCATTTGTAATTAAACGGGACCATTATACAGGACGGTATCAATGCTGCTCGTAATAGATTCAACTTTTAAACTCGAACTCTGATAGCTTGAGGTCGAATTTATTTTGAAAACGGTATCACAATATATTTGATAGCAAAGTAGAGTATACATATACGTCTGTACAGTACGATTAATAAAATTGTTTGTGTGATCTTTATAATTTTTAAAATTTTTACTATGATGCAAGCAATATCTATTATATCCATAAAAAAAACTCACATGGAAATTATTGTGTGTGTTGAGCATTTGTTTCAGTAACCAAATAATTTCCATATTTATTTCATTATATTCATAGGATACGTCGAGCAAACAGGAAGAACATTCTATTAAAAAATAGCTAATTATTCTTGGAAATCAATAAATATGCAAAAGGATAGGATAAAGCTATTTTAATTTCATCAAGCTTCGTAGGAAGCCTCATATTAAACATGAATAATGTCGTATACGTGTACGTTACAACGCAACTTCTTGCTAATTCTCTATTCAGGATGTATTTTTAAAATAGAGGGATGTACTTTCCAACGGTTTCGTGAATTCGAAACTGCAGCCATAATGCTTTTAGTTTACCATATTACGTGAACGCACAGCGTGTAGTAGTTTTTTTACATCTTTCCTTCAAATTGAAATGCATCATTTATAAGCAGAACGCAATAGCACACATAACAGCAGAAGCTGCTACATCAAATGCAGACTGTTATTATGGCAGTGAATACGAAATGTTGCTTTCTCAAAGTTTTAATTTCCCTGTATTATTATGCACGAGTCAAACGATGTTTTTGGGGCAGATTGTATATCAAAGAGAAGAATTATCTTATTCTATCTTTTTTTTAAATAAAAAATACTATATTTATAGAAAACATTATAAAAAAATTTTCTTAAAATATTTGATTTCATTATATAAATACCAGTAAATAAAAATGAAATATGGTATAAACGAGGAAAGTGTTGAACCAGTGTTTTTGAAATAACTTTTGCTTTTCTAAATATCACTGACATTCTAAATATTCACGTTTAATCTGTCTCATCGCCCAGGGTTGACCTATTCCATCAGGATGGTCCTTCTACACAGGAAGTACTTGTAGGGACCATTTCCTTTCCTCGAGTTGCAGTCTACCTTCGATATTATAACGATTATGGTCTTCCTCTTTTAACAATCAAGAACCTTTCTCCCATGAC